ATTACTGAGTATATACCCAAAGGATTATAAATCATTCTACTATAAAGACACATGCACACATACATTTATTGCAGCATTGTTCACAACAGCAAAGACTTGGAACCAACCCAAATGCCCATCAATGATAGACTGGATAAAGGAAATGTGTCACATATACTCCATGGAATATTATGCAGCCATGAAAAAGGATGAGTTCATGTCCTTTTCAGGGACATGGATGAAGCTAGAAACCATAATTCTCAGCAAACTAACACAAGAACAGAAAACCAAACACCACACGTTCTCACTCATAAATGGGAGTTGAACAATGAGAACACATGGACACAGGGAGGGGAACATCACATACTGGAGCCTGTTGGGGACTGGGGCGCTAGAGGAGGGATAGCATTAGGAGAAATACCTAATGTAATTGACAGGCTGATTGGTGCAGCAAACCACCATGGCATGTGTATACCTATGTAACAAACCTGTATGTTCTGCACATGTACCCAAGAACTTAAAGTATAATTAAACAACAACAATAAAAAGGAATCTCACAGGCCAGGAGGGAGTGCAATGATATAGTCAAAGTACTGAAGGAAAACAGTTGTGACATTGAAACTTAGAACATCAAATATTCAGAAGGTGGAAGGAGATCAAGTGTGGAGTTTGTTTGTTTAGTAATCAACGATAATCTGTTATCAGTTTAAAATAACCTGCCATAACTGTAAGACTTTTTCTTGTAAGCCTGATGGTAACCACAAAAGAAAAAAATCTATAATAAATACACTAAAAATAAAAAGGTGTCAAAACATACTATCAGAGAAAATAATTTAACCAATAAGGAAGACAGTGAAATAAGATAAAAGGATCTAAAAAACAAATAGAAAACAAATAGCAAAATGGAAGTAGTTAATTTCCTACCTATCAATAGTTCCTACCTATCAATGTAAATGGATTGATTCTCCAATTATAAGACAGAGTGGTTAAATGGATTACAAAATCCAATTATATGCTGCCTGAAAGAGATTAACTTCACCTATAAGGATACAAATAGATGGAAAGGAAGGAGTGGAAAAAGATATTCCATGCAAACTGAAATTGTAAGACAGCAGGAAATGGACTTTACATCAAAAAGTATAAAAGGAGACAAAGTCATTACATAATGATAAAGGGGTCAACTCAGCAAGACGTTACAACAATTGTAAATACATATGCACACTGAACATGGCAGAAAATACATAAAGCAAATAACAATAATCTGAAGGAAGAGAGACTGCAATACAATAATAATAGAGGATTTCGAAACTACACTTTCAGCAATGGACAGATTATTCAGAAAGAAAATCAACAAAGAAATAGCAGATTTAAACTGCAGTCTAGACCAAAGAAACCTAACAGATATTTACAGAACATTCCATTTAACAGCTGCAGAAAACACATTCTCATCAACTGCACATGGAACATTCTCTAAGACAGATAATACATTAGGCCACAAAAACAGTCTTAAAAAATTTAAAATCAAAATTATATCAAGTATCTTTTCTGACCACAATGACATAAAACTAGAAATTAATAATAGCAGAAACTCTGGAAATATTAATTAAACATGCTCCTGAACAACCACTGGGTTAATGAATTAAAAGAGTAAAAAAGTTAAGACAAATGAAAATGGAAACACAATATACCAAAATGTATAGGATGCAGCAAAAGCAGTTCTAAAAGAGAAATTTATAGTAATAAATACCTACACCAAAAAAGAGGAAAGATCTCAAACTACCTAAACTATTACCTCAAAGAATTAGAAAAACAAGAACAAACTAAACCCTAAATTAGCAAATGGAAAGAATAAAGATGAGAGCTGAAATAAACAAAATAGGGACATAAAAAATCCACAAAATAAAGAGTTGGTTTTTTTTTTTTTTTAAATAAACAAAATCAACAAACCTTTAGCTAGACTAGGTAAAAAAGCTGACGCAAATAAATAAAATCATATATAAAAAAGGTGACATTACAATTGATAACACAGAAATACAAAGAATCATGAGACTACTATGAACAATTATACACCAATAAATTGAAAAACCTAGAAGAAATGAATTCCTGTACCACATTACCTCGCAGGACTGAATTATGAATAAATAGAAAACCTGAACAGGCCAGTAATGAGAAAGGAGACTTGAATCAGTAATAAAAAGTCTCCTATCAAAGAAAGGCCCTGGACCTGATGGCATCACTGCTGAATTCTACCAATAGTTACAGAAGAACTAATACCAATTCTTCTCAAAGTATTTCAAAAAATTGAAGAGGAAGGAATTTTTTCTAACTTATTCTATGAGGCCAGCATTACACTGATACCAAAAATAGACAAAAAAGAAAAACTACAGGCCAATATCACTGAAGAACAGATGGAAAAACTGAACAAAATACTACAAAACTGAATTTAACAGCACATTTAAAAGATAATTCACCATGATAAAGTGGGATTTATCCCAGGAATACAAGAATGGTTCAACATAAACAAATCAATAAACATGACATACCACATTAACAAAACAATGGAAAAAAGTCATACAATCACTTCAACAGATGCAGAAAAATCATGACAGAGTTCAATACCTCTTCATGATAAAAACTCTTAATTAGGTATAGAAGTGATATGCCTCAACACAATAAAGGCCACATACAACGAACCCACTGCTAATGTAATACCAAATGGGGAAAAGCTGAAAGCCTTTTACTCTAAGATCTGGAACAGGATAAGGATGTTCCCTTTTGCCACTTTTATTCAACACGGTACTGGAAGTTCTAGCTAGAGCTATTCAGCAAAAGAGAAAAATAAAACATAATAGGAAAGGAGGAAGTTAAATTGTCTCTATTTGTAGATGATATGATCCTATATACAGAAAATCCTAAGGAATCCATCCAAAACTGTTACAACTAATAAAGAACTCAGTAAAGTTGCAGGATACAAAATCAGCATTAAAAAACAGTAGTATCACTATATGTTAATAGCAAACTATCTAAAAATGACACAAAGAAAAAAATCTCATTTATTACCAAAAAAATACCTAGAAATAAATGTAACCAAGGAGGTGTCAGAAAATGAAATGAATTTGAGGTGTCTCTCAAATGAAAACTATAAATCATTAATGAAAGAAATTGAAGAAGACACAAATGGAAAGATATGCATGTTCATGGATTGGAAGAATATTGTTATAATGTCCATATTGCCCAAAGTGATCCACAGATGTAATGTAATATCTATCAAAATACCAAGGACATTCTTCGCAAAAGTAGATTAAAAACAATCCTCACATTCGTATGGAACCCCAAAAGACCCTGTATAGCCAAAGCAATCTTGAGCAAAAAGAGCAAATCTGGAGGCATCATACCATCTGCCTCCAAAATATATTACAAAAGTATAGTAACCAAAATAACATGCTACTGGTATAGAAACAGACAACAGGCCAATAGAACAGAGAACCCAGAAATAAATCCACGCATATACAGCCAACTGATTTTTGACAAAAGTACCAAGAACATAACTTGGGGAAAGGATAGTCTTTCTTCAATAGTGGTGTTGGGAAAACTGAATGAATATCTATATGTTGAAGAAAGAAACTAGATCTCCTGTCTCTCATCATATACAAGAATCATTTCAGAATGAGTTAAGGACGTAAATATTAAGACTTGAAACTATGAAACTACTAGAAAACAAGATAGGGGAAATGCTTCATAACACTGGTCAGGACAAGGAATTTTTGGATAAGACCCCAAAAGCACAACCAAAAAGATCAAAAATTAAAAAATGCAATTACAACTAAAGTAAAAGGAAATCATCAATAAAGAGACAACCTACAGAATGGCAGAAATATTTGCAAACTATACATCTGACATATGATTAATATCCAAAATATATAAGAAACTCAAACAACTCAATAGCAAAAAACTCCCAAACAACCCAATTAAAATATAGGCAAAAGACCTGAACAGACATTTCTCAAAAGAAGACATACACATGGCCAACATATATGAAAAAAAATGTTCAATATTACTAATAATCAAGGATATGCAAATCAAAACCACAGTGAGGTATTGCCTCATCCCAATCAGAATGGCTTACCAAGAAGGCAGAAAAGAACTTCTTGGCAAGGATGTGGACAAAAGGGAATCCTTTTACATTGTTGGTGGAAATATACAGAAAACAGTATGAGGGTTCCTCAACAAAGCAAAAATAGAACTACCATAAGATGCAGCAGTCCTACTACTGGGTATATACCCAAAGGAAATAAATGAGTATGTCCAAGAAATATCTGCATTCCCATATTTACTGCAGCACCTTCCACAACAGCCAAGATACGGAACCAACCTAAGAGTCTACCAACAGAAGAACGGATAAAGAAAATTTGGTATAAAGTCACAATGGAATATTCTTCAGCTATTAAAAAAAAAAAAAAAGAAAGAAAGAAATCCTAGCATCCTACCACTTGGAACAATATGGATGAACCCAAAGGACATTATAAACCAGGCACAGAAAGACAAATACTGCATGATCTCATATGCAGAATCTTAAAAAGCTGATCTCTTAGAAGTAGAAAGTATAATGGTGGTTATCGGAGGCTGGGGTGTTTAGCAGGGAGAAGGAAATGGGGAAATCTTGGTCAGATGACATAATGACAGATAGCAGGAATAAATTTCAACAGCTCTATTGTACAGCAAGGTGACTATAGTTAAAGACAATGTACTGTATTCTTAAAAAACTTAAAATTTGTGGATATTATGTGCTATCACCACAAAAACAATTTAACTATGTGAGGTAGTACATTTGATAGCTAGATTTAACCATTCCACAATGTATATATACTTCAAAACATCATACATCATGTTGTATACAATAAACACATAAACTGTTATCTGTACATTTAAAAAAATATAAAAAAGCTTACATTATAGAAAAAGGAGAATACTACTTTTAAAAGTAGGCTTTTAGTTTAGTTTTACGTTTCTGTCTCTCTTACCTCTTGATCTTTTTTAGTTTTTCTTTCTAGAGCCTCAAATTCATCCAAATCATTCTTTTCTTTTAATTTCAATTCCATTTCTTCTTTTTCTGTTCGTAGTTGTTCATAGTCTAATACCAGATTATCATAGTCAGCACGAAGTGAGTTCAACTCACTTTCTATATTCTCCTATTATAAATAAGAACAGATTTTCCAATCAGAAAATTCATATATTTTTTGTTTCCTTAACAAAATTTGGATTATTTAAATAACTAATTTAACTTTGATTTGATATCTTTCTAAAGGTCTACATTTTGGCAAACTAGCTAACTTAGAATAGATTATTTTGAAAGAAGGAGAATTTTAAAAACATATCAATAAATTGTATGTTTGCCTGTGCCTGACAGGAAATTTTGATCATAAATCCTCAAGCTTCTCAGTAATAAAACTGATAATTTAATTCCCCAATCTAACTAAATCCTATTTTATGTCTCAGATGCTTCTGAATTCAAGAATGGAAACAGAGATATTATTTATTGACTTCTAAAGCTAATAACTGTTTTACTATACTTAGAGGCCTATTTCTATTTTCTATATTATTATAAGAAAAGAGATAAACCATGAGTTAAAAAGATACTTTTCTACACCAGAGATTGTAAAAAAACCCAAGAAACTTCTAATGTATGTCTTAGGAACACAAAAACACTTTGGCAATAATACTTCATAGGAATTAACTAACAATAATAAGGAGCACTGCAATTATATTCTAAAATTCAAATGAAAATGTCTTTACTACTTTATACAACTATACATCTTTAAACACAAGCAATATACAAAGTAAACAAGGAATCTAAACTTACTGATGTATTCACCAAAATTACCTCTCCCTGATGTATTATTCTAAACAGTATAAATGCCTGACAATTGACACTTTTAAAATCAGTCTTGTCACCCTCATGAAGTTTACCAAGGCAAAACAGAAACTTTACAAACATCACGAATACTAAGATCTGCTAGCAAAGAGCTAGAAGCAAAGGTTTAGCTGCTAGCACATGTCTGCCTTATGAAATTTTTAGTCTTCCTCTAGGTGCCTGATGGTTATAGAATAGAAACGTAAAGAGAGAAGCCTTCATTAGAGCCAAAATCATTACTGAAATTAAATGAGAACAAGTAACAACAATATCTAATAACAAAATAGTTTTAAAAAGAGTAAAAGCATTATATGCTGTAAAATACATTAAGTTACCTGATTTAGTAGCTTTGTTGCTGGATTCCATTCTATCTCATTTAATGTATCAAGAGTGTTACTGAAAACATCAGACTCTGAACAAACAGCTATAATTAGAGAAAAAAAATTTGTCCATAAACATGTTTACCAAATTTCCTAAGACAAATTAAAGATTACTAAAAAAATTCTTATCAGAGATACTAAGAACTTCAAATTAACAATATGTGCTCAGAGTATGAATACTAAAAGTACATTAATAGATATGGTGATTTATATTATTGTATGAATTAAGATGACCACTGGTTGGAATTAGTGACACAATTCAGGATCCTTAATGAAATACACGTTAAAAGGACAAATTCTGAATTTGAGATTTGATCATTATAAGTAGATTTTAAATGACCCCCCAACAGACTGTACCATTGAAGAAATAATTTTGAAAGATTCCTATGCCAATGCCACTCTTTTAAGATTAGCAAAGGCAGATGCCATATAACTAATAATTTAGTTGAATAATTAGAACAAAAATAAAAACACCTGTCTCACGTGTGTTTCAACTAGTGCATCATTCTTAAGAGAATCAGAGTAAAGAACTTATGATTACTTTACATTTATTTATTTATTTTTGAGACAGTTTCATTCTTGTCGCCCAGGCTGGAGTGCAATGGATCTTGGCTCACTGCAAGCTCCGCCTCCCAGGTTCAAGTGATTCTCCTGCCTCAGCCTCCCAGGTAGCTGGGATTACAGGTGCCTGCAACCACGCACAGCTAATTTTTTTGTATTTTTAGAATTACTTATTTTAAATAATAATCTCCATTGTAATCACATATGAAATACACAGTATTTAAACATGTTTATCACATTAACTGAGCTATAAACACAGTTTCCCTTTATAAGGATGCTTTTATAATTAAACATAGTTCCACTTGCAAAAAGCACTCACATTCATCAATTTCTCCTAATAAAGTCATAGACGGCTTGCGTGTTTTTGTTGTTATATTTGTTGGCATATTAAATTGATCTGCATAGTTTGAGTTCTTCATTTTGTTAATTTTGCCAAGACACCAAGTAACTCTTCGTTTTCTTTTAGCCTAGGAAGAAATTAAAATTATGTCATATAGATCTGTATTCAAACATAATAAAACAAGGGAACTAGTTTCCATTTTTGAAAACCATTGACTTGGTAGAATTCTTATTAAGCCTAGTTTAAATTTTTACTAGTCTAAGGACATTGCTTAAAAAAAAAAAAAAATCAAACTCTTGACTCTTTACTTCACTCTAACTACAGTTTTCTTTATTTCCTACTTTGTCCTCCTCATGATTTATCCACTCTTTCCTCAGCACTTCAGGGACCCATCTCCTGGTTCTTTCCTTACCCAGCTGCTGTACTTACTACTCATTCTGGTTTCTCTTCCTGTGCCTGCCTCTTAAGTATGTTTTTCCAGGTTTCATAGTCACCATTCTTCTCGTCTCTTTACTCAGTGCAAGTATCATCTCATCTTATTTGACTCTCTCGGCAACCCTAGGGTTGTAATCACATCTGAAATACACAACCCTAAGGCTGTTGAGAGAGTCAAATAAGATGAGATGATACTTGTATAGAGTATCAACCTTACTACATCTTTTTAACAGATGAGCTGGGTGCCCAACAAGGTTGGACAAGTTGTGTAAGGTTGTATAGCCAATTGGTGGCTGAGCCCATGTCTATTTCTTCAGAGCCTTTCCATGCAACCATTCCATCACATTGCCTCTTAAGATTACTTCTTGTCCTCAGAATAAACTGCATACTGTCATGCCTGAGTGCTGTTCTTCTGCTTGAAATGGCCAGCCCTTTCCACGTCCTGCTCTGCAAAAGCCCCATCATATATAAATCCTCCAATAACCTTCAGTTTAATGCTAGTTGCTACCAAAGCCATACCTGGACCTTATCATTATCTGAAAGTCATAAACCTAGACCTCTTGCTCTTATCGCTGTTGTTATCCTTCCAAATCATTAATTTAATTAATCCCACCATAGCTATTTAGCTTATCAGGGGCTATGTAGCTCTGTTCCCTTGTTGCGTGACTTTCTTTTTTTTTTTTTTTTTGGCCATCTCTCTCTTGGTTCTCACCCTATCATCTTAGATTCCATAGATCACCGTAATCATGTTTGAAATTTGAGGTCAACGTTCTCAAATTATTTGACCCATTCTCTGTCCCTTACATGTACCCCACATGGCACACTCAAATGACACTGTGTTCAAGACCTTTATCAGCCTCCTGAGCACTGCCAGAGCCACACAGCCAGAAGACTGGCTGACAAGATAAACCGGATCTTTAATGCTGCTTGGCAATATTCCCTTCCCCCTTGTCAGCTTTCTTTTTCATTACCTACAAAGGCTAGCCTATTTCAAACCTTTAGTATCTCTGTAAACTTACGACTCTACCATCAACTGCCATCTCAGCAGAAAAATTAAACCTATTTCACAAAGAAAGTATAAACCTAAACTCCTAAGAGTACTACCTGCACAGAGGCCTATCCTTTCGTCTGTGTTTGTTCCAATTCAAGAGGTGTTTCTCCTATGGTAGTCCAATTCTTTCTACTATATTCAAGATCCCATCCATCTAGGCCACCTCAACACACTACAAGATGGCTTTCACAACCCTACTAATTAATAACTCAAATCACGTTTGCAAATAAGCTGTGTTTCCAAATGCAAATAATTTTTTGTCCATCTTTATCTTATTTAACTTCTCAGCAGAATATGACACTGCTGAATACTACTTCCCTGAAATATTCTCTCCCCTTAGTTACTACATTCACTAGGTTTATTCTTAACTCTAGAGCTAAACCTGGGCTTCTTTACAGATTCTTCTTTCTCTGTCTTACCCAATTGGAGTTTTGCCTTCTGTTACTTTGCCTTCTGTTGCCTTCTCTCAACATGCAACCAGAACAAACTTTAATTTGGATCTGTAGTAGTTAATGCCCAAATTGATATTTATATCTCAAATCTTCTACCTAATATTCACACATTTGCATTTTCAACTGCCTGACATCTCAAACAAAAGAAATCCCAAATAAAATACCCACCATTTCCACTGCTTTTTATTCAGTGTTCCTTAACTTAACCAATATTGTTACCAGCTACCCAGGAAGCCAAGCAATTGCTTGCAAGTCATTCTGGACACCTCCTCCTCCCTTTCTCTGCCCTCAACATCCAAACAACCACAAAGTCCTGCTAAGTTTACTTTCCAAACACTTCTCCAATTTATCCAATTCACTCCAACTCCAGAGTCAGTCTTTGCAGGCCCAAGCAATCTGATGTGCACAGCAGCTACATCTTTCTCAACTATAATTCTGATGTCACACGCATCAGAATTATATCAGTTTGTTGTTAGCAAAACATCACATTCAAATCCCTCAAGGGGGTTTAAAATGCCCCTGCTACTAGAACATCTTAAGTCCAAGGAATGCATCATGTTTCTTCACAACTCCAAGCTGTTGTACATGTAGGTCTCTTTTGAAACATTCTTCTCTAGGTCTTTCATTGGGCTATTTCCTGCTCACCACTCAACCAAAGACAATCTTGATTGTCTTCTGTATACCAATGTACATACTGCTTATTCATATTAACAACGTACATTAGTTGAGAATATGCGGTGTGGAAAGTGCTGTGTTGAGCTAATTCTACCTATTATCTCATTTAATTCTCACACAACACTTATGAGGTGAGTATCAAGCTCTTCCACACTGCTACTTCCACAGGAAAAAGTAGCAAAGTGAATTCAATAAATTGTCTAAGGCCAAGAGTTAGGAAACGACAGATTTAAATCCAGGCAGTCTAGCTCCAGAGGTCGTCCTCTTATCCATGACACCCTCACACCCCCAAAAGTCTATTGAATAAATTCCTACTCAATTAAAGACAAACAAAAAAAAAACTACATAAAGTCAGAATTTTGTTCACTATGTTGTTTTTATTTTCTTTCAGCAGACTCTACATTGACACAATTATGTTGTTTTATACTCTACACCAATTTTCCTGAGATTAATATTTCTGTTTAAGTATAAAATAATATTTCCACATATTCTAGAAACCTGTGGCTTCCAATCACCCAGTTTCTTTAGAATTTATTAAACAGCATATTGCAAATAAATTATTTAAATAAACTCCAAACTTGTTGAATTAGAATCTCTACAAGTGAGAATCAGAAATTGGTATTTTTAATGTATCTCTTAGGTACTGTGAAAACACAAAATCTTCTGGGTTTCTTGAAAATACTGTATCAAAGGATGGAAAGTGCATACTACATAATAAACATATAGAAATACCAATTCTATTCTCTGTACATCAAGTTTAAGCTGTCATCTTTTAATTTTACCTTTAATTCCTGTTGTGATGTGAGGGAAGAAGAGGTCACCAGCATCCGTGTTAAGTTTTCAATTTTCTCATTCTGTACTTTCTGAAGCAAATCTTTTTCTTCCAAAAGTTGGGCCAATTGGTCTTTTTCCATTGCCTGAGCTCGCGTCTCTAAAGAAACCTATAGAATGCAATATTGGATTATGTTAATAATAAATGTGGTTAAGTTTTAAAACCTTAAAAGTAGCATAAAAGAATAAAATATTACATTTGTATATGAACTATAAGAATTTTAATTTCAGTGAAATAAAATTAACTGTAACCGCAGAACACCAAAATGCAGTTACCGTAATCAATAATTTCTCAGACTTACAATAAAATACACATTTCTTCTCATGTAACTATTCTGTATACCATGTATAAGACAACAATGCTCTTATAATAACTCTATTAATTGCCTAAGATATGAATAATCAGAAGTCATAAAACAAAGACTTGAATTCCGATAGTAAAGATAGAGATGTTCTCATAAGATTACCATTTGATATTTTAGCTCATTTTAAAAAAGATCACTAATGCATGATTTTTTACAAAATATGGGACCATGATGGTTAAAACAAATGAGTAATTACACTACATTATTAGATTGCAATCTAAGGGTTAGAAGAGGAATTCAGGATAACATGAAAATACAGAAAGTGGTTCTAAGTAACTCTGTAGTTTCTCTTTTTAACCGAATTCATATGTATTTGTGAAAAATTTTAAGAAATACCTCTAATTGGCCCATTTGATAATCTCAGATTTTGAAATAAAAAACAAAATCTAAAATAATTTCAAGAACCAAATCTTACAATTTATAGTAAATTAAACTAAAATTTTTATGAGTAGATTTCTTCTTGTTTAAAAATGAATTAAAACTTAAATTGTAGCAACTCAGATATTCAGGAATGAATTGTCTCTGAGCATTTGGGCAGGTCTCCATTCTAAACTGGTTCTTTCTATTTAATGAAATAAATGATTCATACATACCTCCTCTAATTGTTTTTTAAGATCCATTATTTCTTTTCTATACCTTTTCAGGAGAGCTTCATCAGTTGATACCTCATTAACATAAGGAGTATTCTTCATATATTTAGCAGTACTGGCAAACTGGAAAAAAAATACAAAAGTGCTAAGTGTTCAACACTTAAAAAAATTCGAATTTAATTAGTAATATTTAGCTTTCTTATATTCAAGTTTAAAAAACATCAATACTCTTTCCAGTTGGCTTAATACTTTTGAAAAAAGGGAACATTCTATGTACTTATAACAATGCTCTGTAACTTACCCTGGCTGATAGTCTTCAGGAGAATAAAAAAAGATATATTGAGAGAACTTAAAAACGTCGGCTTATTGGAATCCCATTTACCCCTCAAGGTCCAGTGCTAACGCTTCCTCTACTCTGAAGTTTTGCTTCTAGCCAAAGATAACACTCCTTCCTTTAAACTCTATACTAGTTATTAACCACTTAACTACTAAAATTATGTTGCAAGACAAGTGTTATGTGCCTTGTCACAGAATTCATTAATTCTGTTAAGCCAGGGACTCTAGTTTCTCTTTGCACCTCTGATAGTACCTTGTTCTGGTGCTCAACATCTATTTAAAGCAATGTTTCTCAGAGTACAAGTACCATAAGTAACTTTAGGTGGGTACATGAAGGTGACCATTAGATAACATTGAATCCTTCATTGAGAAAGCTACCCTGCTGACATTTCTCATTTTTCTTGAGACATAGTTTCGCTCTTGTTGCCTAGGCTGGAGTGCAATGGCACGATCTCGGCTCACTGCAACCTCTGCCTCCTGGGTTCAAGCGATTCTCCTGCCTCAGCTTCCCCAGTAGCTGGAATTACAGGCATGTGCTACCACACCTGGCTAATTTTTGTATTTTTGGTAGAGAAAGGGTTTCTCTATGTTGGTCAGGCTGGTTCTTTTCCTTTTTAAAATAGAAAATGTAGGCCTTAGGCTCAGAGCAAATGAAGGCAACAGTTAACTACCAGGAATTTCAGAATTATTTTGTTATACAGACAGACACACAATTTTTTTGTTACCTTCTATTTGTGGCAAGTAATAATAGTTTCCTATTGATAGGACTAATATTAAAGTTTCCTTTTACAATAAATTAAGTACAAAAAGTGAGTTATTTAAAAAAATATCAAGTCAATTTCAGTAAAATAGTGTTGGATGTGGCAAAAATTGTGAAGGTAAGATACAAATAATTGAAGTCTGGCAAAATTAAATTAAGAAATGCTATTTAGTAGACAACATATCGATTATAACAGGTGTGTTAATTTAAAAAACTTTGCTTAATTTTAGTAGGTAATTTTTTCTTCTTCAAGTTGATCTTCCCCCATATTAAGTTGAGATAAAAATCAAACTCACCTGGAGAGTAGTAAGGGTTTCATCAAAAGATACTGGAGTAATTGTGCAGATAATACGTGTCTTTGCGTTTCCTCCCAAGGAATTCTGGAGAATTCGTGTTAACTTGCTATCTCGATAATTTATGAAACCACTTAGCAAGGAATAAGTTTATGGGAGAAAAAGATTGAAAACGTTTATATAACAAAGTAGTTGGTTTTTAATGCAGAACACTTAAATCAGTTTCCAAAATTAGTTTACAGGGTATATGAGGCAGATTAAAACTACTAACTAAAAAATATTTAAAACAGAAAGTAAATTCAATAGATTATAGTGGTATGTATAAGCTTTTGAATATATGGAAAAAATCAGTACATTTGAGTGTCATTTAAATATTGCAATGTTCAACCTAATGAAAAAGGTAAGAATTAGTAGGTAAGTACACAATGGGATAAACTTACCCAACCTGTCCATCACTAAGTTTCTTGATCACTTGTCCCAAAATAAATAAGCTTCGATTTATATTACAGCCTTCCTTGAGCCGCACACCTGAATTTATTAAACAAATACGAAAACCAAACTTGACTCCTTTTCTAGATGATAAACTTATTTATCACTAAGTTAATGAGAGAAATTGGAGGGCAGATGCTAAAGTCTATGCTCTGGTTTAGACATGAGCCCATCTTTAATATCAGTGGTAGAAGGAGCTCTTTCCCTATTGGTCCCGCTTCAAGTCAATCAGAAAGGTTATTACCTGAGAAAAATAGTAAAAAGAAAAAAATGAAGAGGGAGGGAAGAATGTAGGGGAAAAAAAACTTGTTTCCTGAAAGAGCTTCTCTAGCTCTTCGGTTCAAATCAATTTTTTTTCAACATCTAAATACAGGCAACTATGAACTTATAACCAAATTTACCTCTAATTTCTCATTTTTAAATTGTTAATATGCTTACATGGTTCAAAAAGTTTTTTTAAAAAAAGTACACTTTGAAAAAGCTCCCTTCCACTTTTATCCCATATTCATTCAACCAGTTCCTATACCTCTACCAGGACACCACTGTTATTAGTTTATTCTTTAGAGATTTTTAAAAATACAAGTTCATATATGTTTATTTCCTTCTTTCTTCACCGACATCAATCGTAACAGACCATACATACTATTTTGCACTTTGCTTTTTTTCACTTGGCAACATATCTTGGAAAAATTTCCATATCGGTAAACACTGATCTTTTTCATTCTTTCTTAAAGTATAAAATTCCATTTTACGGCTGCATCAGACATCATTCACCCACCCCATCCCCTGTTGAAGGACATGTAGGTTTTCAATCTACTGCCTATACAAAAAAAATTGCAAAAAATAACTTTGAATAGATGTTATTTCACAGGTGCATTAATTAGCTACTGCTGTAACATTACTACCTAACCAACCAGCTAACACAAGCATTTATTTTTTGTTCACAGGTCTGAGGATGGACTGGTTTGGTGGATGTAGGCTAGGCTCAGTTGAGTGGCTCTACAATAGGCTGCAGAATGAGCTCAAGTCTGTTGAACAAACTTCTAATCTTCCTTGGATCAGCAGCTCTTCTAATGGCAAGAGTGCAGGTGCAAGCGAAACCATTCAAGCCTGATGAACTATTCATCTTTGCCCAGTTTTTTGTTGGTTTCTTTTAAACTTTTAAGGCATCCGGACTTTGTATCAGTTACAAAAGGGCTGTCCCACTGTAAGTTGACTTCTAATAATTTTTATATTTTTTTAATATTGAAATTTTTGAGCCACTTATAATGCATTCCTTGGTATATGATATATGGATAATTTTTTTTTTCCAAATGGCCATCAATTAATGAATAATCTATCTTTTCTTCACATATTTGAAGGACCATTTTTATTGTATTCTAACTTCTGTATGTATTCAGGACTCTTGATGGATTTTCTATTCTATTCTACTGGGCTGACAATTCACATAGTTTTATTACTATGGCATTATAATATGTTTAACTATCTTATAGTAAGATAGTAAAATCTTAAATTCCACTTTCTGCTTTTTGGAATTTTCCCGGCTACTCTTGTCTGTTTTTATGTTTCCGTACAAATTTTAAAATCATCTTACCTAGTTTAAACATGAAAATGTACTCTTTTTTATTAGGATTGTGTTAAATCTAGAAATTAACCCAGAGGCCTGATATCCTTGTGATTTTGAATCTTCTACATCTAAGTATGCTTTTCCATTTTTTCAAGTATTTGTTTGTGTCCTTCAAGTCTGATTTACAAGTTTTTTCAGGCCGGGTGTGGTGGCTCACACCTGTAATCCCAGAACTTTGGGAGGCTGAGGTGGGCGGATCACTTGAGGCCAAGAGTTCAGGACCAGGCCAGCCAACATGGTGAAACTCTGTCTGTACTACAAATACAAAAATTAGCTGGGTGTGGTGATGCATGTCTGTAATCCCAGCTACTCGAGTGGCTGAGGCACAAAAACTGCTTGAGCCCAGGAGGCGGAGATTGCATTGAGCTGAGATCGTGCCACTGCAGTCCAGCCTGGGAGACACAGGGAGAGTCTGCCTCAAAAAAATTAAAAAAAAAAAAAAAGTTTTCTTTATATCAGTCTTGTACAAATCTTTGTTGAGTTTCTTCCTAGGCATCACATCTTTTAAGTTATTATAAACAGAGTCTTTCTGTCTACTAAACATTTTAACTGGTTTTTGTTTATTAATATTTTAACTTTCTAAAATTAGTATCTGTATATTAATTTTGTACCCCACTTTCTTAGTTTCCTTATTTTGAAAGTTTGAATGGCTTTTATGGAATTCTCATGGGCTTTCCTGCTGTACAATATCATCAATTGTATAATTTTCATTTTTTAATTGATGCTATTGTAGACTAAAATAAAAATTAACCAGATACAGATGCTGATTTCTATGTTAAAGACTTTTATCAGAAAATCATCATTAATGAATATTATTAATAATGAATATAATTACTTTATCAATTTCTAAAAATGCCTGGTAGTACTTTTTAATCCTGTAAAATAGGAAGACACTAAGATTAACATATTTCATGAGTTTTAATTACCTTCAGCTCCTGTTTGAGCAGCTCTTTCACTGCCTGCAAGATCAACCAAATTCTGTAAGATAGATAAAAATAAATCTTTAGGGCAGATAATCTGAAATAATAAAATTCAAACTACTGAAAGAATATTTTTAATACATGGTATATCCGAATATTCTATCTGTATCCATGTCTCCCATGCTACTGTTTAGGCATTCCCTTTTTTCTCTGAGTCAAACTGTTCTCTATCTGTTCCTTTCTTTATATCTTCTATAATGCTGCCAGTATAGGTTCTGTTTCCTATACACAGTCCAAAAACTTACTATGGCAAATATAATTCTTTATAAGCTGGCACTTGCATTGCTCCAACTTTGTATCTATCTATCCCTTATTCTTATCTCTAGTAGAAATACTCACTATTCCCCAAACACCCCATGTACTTCTACACCTTCAAGCACAAGCTTTTTGCTATTTCCTTTATTCAGTTAGTTCTAATGTTCTAGTCTGTCCTTATTCTTTATTCAAGAACCAGGCACAAAGATTATCTCCTCAAGGTAGCTTTGCCTACTTTATCCTTCCTCCCTGCCAGATCTCAGATGAACTGCTCCTTGAACTGCATAACCAGAACTCTTTATAAACATGACTTATAGATACAACTTACAGTTATAGCACTTATTTTGTTGGGCTAGTCATGTATGCTAGCTGTACTATGCTGTAGCAATACCATGACTTTACTGTGGCATCTTTTAAGTGCTGGACCTCTCTTTCATTTCACAAATATTATTGAAAAGAAGTGGCTACTTATCATGCTCCAGGAAGTGCATCAGGTGCTAGGGCTACAAATAAATAAGATCTCTGCTCTCATGGAGCTTACATTCTACATAGAGGAGGAGGCTGGTGAGAAGAGATAAAAGGACAAATAAGAAACATGTTGTGATAAGTGTAACAGAGATTATTTAAATATAGAGCTGGAAAACGGGCTAGTAGGTTTAGGTTCACGGGATTGGACAGCAGTGTAAGGCTTGTCATTAAGCTGAGATCTGAATGACGAGAGAAGAGGAAGCTGGTCCCAAAAAGATCAAGGGAAACAGTAGTCTAGACAAAAAGAAGAGCCAAAACATTTAAGTCACAAAGCAGAATGTGCTCAGTGTGTTCAAAAAAATAGAAAAGGCAGGGTGGAACAGTTGGTGAAGTGAAGACAGGAAAAGATAGAATAAGAGAAGCAGACAGGGGCCAGATTACACAGGACCTTTTAAGTAAGATAAAAAACTCTGAAATGTTTAAGTTCAATGAGAAGCCATTGCAGGGCTTTATGCAAGGGAGTAATAGAACCCTGCATAAAGCCCAGCAATGGCTTCCACAATGGATCCACTACAACTACTGGGTGGAGGATGGATTGGGAAGGGGCAAGAGCAGCTGCAGGCAGCCCCATCAGGCGGCTGGGGTAGGAATCTGGGTGAAAGATAATACCAGCTTGGGTTAGGGAGGTGGCAGAGGAAACTGCTTGTAAGAGAAGCAGTGGAGGGATGTCTTGTTTATTTATTTTTTTAATCTCAGAGCCCAACACCATGCTCAGAACACAATAACGACTTAGTAAATATTGTGAGTGATTTGAAAGAAAGTCAAACCTTTAAGTTATTTCTCTCTGTGGAGATTTTTGAGACTAGGCAGGTAAATATGTATTACCAGTTGAGTCTGATTTTTCTTGCACAGTGTCCACTACAGATGACACAGATACATAATAAAAGGGCAAAGTGGTAATGAAGGCAGCATGAATGAAGGTTAAAGATGAGAACAAGCATTCATATTCAAAGATACTCAGAGGCCCAACCTATGAGGGAGGAGTTCATTGAAGCAGAAGGAAATAGATTGGTTAAAAGTGTCCAAATCTTGCCCCGGGAAGTGACATACAAAAGCAGTGGTTAGTATATTAGAAATCCTTATTATGCCTTCAAGAAACAAAGACAAGAGTCATGGAGACAAGGTTCCAGGAGACTGACGTAATTCAAGAGAGATGAGAAAGTAAATGAGTGTAGCACCCACGGGAATGTTCAAAGGTAGGATCAATAAGAAATGGGACAAGTGGACAAAGAGAAAGGCAGAAAAAGATGAGTCAAGATTGACTTGGGTGTCCAGCTTAGGCAGCTAGGATAATGCTGCTTTTACTGGAAATAAGGAATATTCACTACGGTAGGAAGAAAATAGTTTCGTTTTAGACATATTAAAGTTTGAGATATTGATGGGACACAATTATAACCATCTTTAGGAAGACATTAATTAGAATTCAGAGACTATAGATAAAATATTTGGCAGTTATCAACATGGAAATGATGACAGAATGTTTGAGAGCAAGAAATAAGTAAGAAAGGCCACAGGATACCTCCAAGTTTTTTTTTTTTTTTTAAATTTTTTTTTTAGGAGGGCAGAGAAAAAGAAGCCAGGGTAGAAAACAGAGGAGTACAGCTAAGAGAAACTGGATATCATCATCCCACCAAGGCCGGGAGATAATCAGAAAAGAGCCACCTCTAAAGAGCCAGAGATGACTCCTTAGAGGAGACTTCTTTCCAAGAAGATTCTTAGTGTAAGTGGGTAGGCTGGAGGGTTGGAACAGATGGAACACTGATGACAGAGCATCAAGTAACATGAGGAAAATCATCCAGTAGATCACTGAATATGCCAAGAGTATTAAAGCTAAACTATTAAAAGTTAAAATTAGATGATATATCAGTCTTGGATGAGAAAACAAAAGAGGTTAGGTTTTGGTTTTTTATTGTTAAATTAAAACAAGATTAAAGTCTACTAAAAATAAGTTATACAATTTTAAAGCAAAATAGCAAACGTGAAATTAGGATTGAATATTAAGTAATTAATAATCTAACTTTATAAAATCTGAAAATGAATAAACATATCATAGATTGCTTTTTTCCGTGAAGTTTTCTACTCAAATAATCTTAAATCATATCTCACATCAAGCTAAAGAATTTAGGCCCTAAAGATGCAGAATAAAGCAATATGGTAAAGTGTAGAAAAGGAGCAAGAAAGAGACAGCAATAATTTAGTGTGGCAAGAAGAAAGTGAAAGTTTACTTATGTGCTATATAAGAATGTTTGCATAATGCTTACATTCACTTATTCAACAAGTCTACATTAGACATAAAATAGGTATAATGTGTTGGGGCTTCAAGGATGAATGCAGTATCACTCCTCAATGGATTTACAGTCTAAAATACTATCTTTACAATACGAAATGTATTTTCTAAGATGACTTAAATTGTTAAATGTGTATAGAAAAAAATTCTGCTTCATTAGTGGTTAGAAAAAACATCAATCCCTATAACCCTATAGCCCTGACATTTAAATTTTAGGAAATGGCAACCATGACATAACAGGAAGAAAGATCCCCTGAATTTTTCCTACAACATTTTAGCTAGGAATTTGATGATACTGACAAAACTAAGCAGACAAGTTGTAGACTTCCTCCCACATTTAGTTTAGTTAACAGTTCTTATTAAGCCAAACATCCAGCAGCTAAATTAAATTTTGTTTTGGCTCATACAGTACATTATTATGGTTCATTAATACTCACCAAATGGGATACCTTAACAGATCCTTCACAATTAGAAGGTTCACCCTTCTCTCTACTTTCCAAAATCTAGATAGAAAAAGCAAGCTGTAGAAAAATTAGTGCACTCTTACTTGGAAGATCTAATAGATAGACAGAGAGAATTACCTACCATCCTAAAGATGGTATGAGAACGACTGCTTCTTTGATTCATTTTTGTTTCTCCATAATGCCTGTTCTCTGTAAAAATGAGTTATATTTCAGCTGCATATATATTAAAATCCACAGAAACACAATAATTTTTAACTTAAAGAAGTGTGATTTGAAGCCTAAACGTGCTTGATTGAAAAGATAGTTTTTACAAGTGTTTTAAAGAAATACAGCATAAAGTCTTACTTTCTCCCTTTGTAATCCATTTCAAAGCCATTTCTGATGTATATACAACTTCTTCTGTGAGATCAGCAACATACACATTCCTCTGAAACAAGTTTAATTACAGAAAGATTAGAGAAATAGAAGTCACAAGTTTGCTTTTCAAAACAAGGTGCAAACTATTATAGAATTCATTTGTGAAAGTTAAAAGTGGCAAATGGAACCATAATTCTGTAGAAATGTAACAAGTAATTCTATGAATACCCACAATTTATTTCATATACCAAAGCACACAAATTCTAACCTGATACTTCCATCTTGCTATTTTTACACTTAAACCAAAATATTAGAGCTGTCAGTATTTGAAAACTATTCATGTTGTTTAACAGATGAATATAAATACTTCAAAAAAACCCTCACATACTATAGAAATAGGAGACACTTTAAAAACTATAGAAATTACAGGTAAACGTTCAAGAACAATAAACCCAATAAGTAAGTCAATTTTAAAGCTCCCTTAAGTCTGCTACTCACATTGACATCTTCTCGAATAATTAGAGGTTTCATTTTTTGAGTGCCACAGAGTAAATCTGTAATGGTTTCATTGTATATTTCCATGTAAGATACACGTAAGAGAAATTCCCTATCAGGAAACTAGAAGAAAAAAATTATATAAAAACACCAGGAAGCATCCAATTGTGAAAACCTAATACTAAATGCTCATGTGCTTAAAGAGGTTAAATGTCTGTAAAACAAACTAAGAAAACCCTTGGTTCTAATGTTGACAAAATAATAAACACAAAAATATAAAAGCATCACTACAGAATGAAAAGTGAAGTACCATAAAGCTGGAAGAACACCAACTCTAGGCTCAAACTCTAGGCTGAAAATAAAACCCTATCAAAAGATGTTATTTTTCTTTTTTTTTTCTTTTTGATATAAACATTTAATAAAATAGGGATGGGTAGATTTTTCTCTAATAAGATGGAGTACATCTGTCTCAGCAAAAAAGTCAATATCATGTTTAATGAGAAGACACCAGAAGTATCCCCACTAAAGTTTCCCCACTGAAATCAGGAGCAAGACAAGAATATCTGCTATCACACTACAAGATGTTCTTATTTTAATAAAAATGCTAATCTAAAACCATCTCTTAACTAACTAGGTTGCCTATTCTTTCTGCTTCCCTTCTTTTTTGTTTTTTTTTTTACCTACATCTACTTTCTACTGTTCCTTTATAATCACTGATAATTAAATGGTTAGGTGGAGCTAACCATGATAAAATTTTCTTGTTCCTTAATGCCTACTTTTTGTTCAGAGTATTATTGTTGCAGAATTCAAGGGAAAGAATAAAAGAAATTTAAGTTTTATAAAGTAAGTTGTGGAGATAAAAGTGAATCTATGCTATGTCTTTCTTCTTTCACCATGGATAATCAAACAATAACTGCAAATCTACTTCCTTTCATCTTTACAAGGGAAATACACTAAGACTCGTACCCAGTTTTTACTAGTTTTACTTGTACGTACTAGAAATTCAGTTAAGTTACTTACCTTCTTAATTTTTTGGAAAATGTCATGAATTGCCCTGGGTGTAACTCCCAAATGATCTTCTGAACCCATCATGGTATATGTTTTTCCGGAAGCGGTCTGTCCATAGGCAAATATAGTACCTGCAAAAAACAAAACACACATATGCAAAGATTAAAAACAAACCTATAATGGGTAAAACTATGCATGCTTATTGCACAGATGCCCAAGACTAAAATGTTTCTGCAACATTGAGTGAATACAAACCATTGTAGCCTTGTATGGCGGAATCGATGATTGGTGCTGCTATTTCTTCATACACATTTTTGGTAGTTTCATTACCATGAAAGACACGATCTAAACAACAACAGCAACAACAACAACACAGAAGTTAAACCAAATGAATCAACTGTGTTTTCATTCCAAATTAGTAATTATTCCTAAAAGTAAAACTGTCAGAATGTAGGATGATCAAGTATTTAAGACACAGTCTTTTCTTCAACTTTTTGGTTCTCTGAAAATACCCTTCCCTAAGGTAAAATGAGTTCATTTATACACACAAAAAATACACTACAAGTCAAGTTTTCTATGTTCTTTCCGGAGTCAGTAAGGCATAGTGTTTGCACATGGGGGTCTGGAATCTATCTAGATGAAAATTAGATAACTGTGATTATAACTGTTTTAAATACCAGTTGGTTACCTTACTTAAACACATGATGGATAAACAATTTTGTTTCCAGCAAAGCAGTTTGTAGAAGGCTTAATCTAATCTTTAGTGACAACTCTAATATTATTGATTAGCCTTTTGTACTTTTAATAGCAAAAGGATAACACGGTAACTTTTTATGCTATTATAAGCTTACCAAAATTGAAGGATTTACTTCCATCAACTTGATAAATGGCATTACTGTCAGTTTTCCAGTAAACTTGGGCAGTTTCTCCAAGTGATTCTTCTCTAAAAGAATAAAAACACTGCATTTTAACCAGTCACAAAAGTCATGTCATAGGAGGGACAATTTAAAAGATTTCACCTTCTGAAGGATATTTTGAAAGATAATAAGAGAATGACAGAAAGTCCATCTTTGAGGATTCAAGTCTTAAATGGAGCTTCAGTGACGCCTGTCCCCTCAAAAGTGTTTTCTTGTGAAGGCTTGCATTCTCACCCTCTCCCCCAGTACTGGTAAATGAAGGGATGGTTCAAAATGCAACTCTGATTGTGTCTGTCTTGTTTAAAATTCTTAAAACCTTTTGGAAACTTATGAAATCCTCAGCATGGTACGAGTCCTAGATCATGTCTTTTCTCTCTTCCATTTTCCTCTGAATTCCTAGATACATGCTAAGCTCTACCTGAAGGTCTTCCCCAAATGACAGATGTAACCTCTCTGTGCCTGGAGTACTCTGACTTTCCTTTCCATTAAGTAACACAGCCATTATTTCACTCTTGAGAAGTGTCAAGACTTTCCTGACACCAGTTCATCCCACGGAAGCTGTCTTTTCTCTGATGGGCTAATGACTCCTCTAGCAAACATTCTCCACCCGCCCATCATTAACACTCGTCACAAAGTATCTTAATGGTTTCTTTATGCAGCGGTTTAAGGCATTAGATAACAAGCTCCTCAAAAATAGGAAATTCCTGATCTTGGTATTTACATTTATTAAACCCCGTGTTCAATAAAAATTTCACACTCACACAAAGTGTTAGCATTTTGGGTCGAGGGCCAGAAGCCAGCGAAGCAAACTGACTTCATTTATTCCTCTTCCTGCTTTTTCTCCATAGCATTTATTACGTACATATCACCACATAACATCCTACATTTTCAACTTTACTTTCTGTCTCGCCCCATTAGAATGGAAGAGCCACTGGGCAATGACAGGAGTGTCTGTGTAGTACAAAGGTACTAAAAAAATTGATAAATATTTGTGGAATGAATGAAGTCTTGAGTGACGACTGAACTCAATGTGACAAGACAGACTAGCTCTTGTCTTCAGGGGGTCTGAAGACAGCAGTTACGTGTAAAATGACTAACTGTGATGAGGGCTAGGAAGGCACTGTCCCATACGACTTCTCTAGGGCGGGGAATGGGGCAGGGAGGAGCAGACGCGGCAAGGCAGAGCAGCACAGAAGGGAAAGTCTGTAATGTCAGCGAGACTGAGTTAAATTTAAGTGAATCTCGCAGCTGGAAAGTATCTTCTAGATCTCCGATCCTCCCCCGTCACTTTACAGACCCTGAAACGGTGGCCAGCGGCCGAGTTACTAGACAGCAGAGCCGGGAAGCAGCTGCTCCTGGAAACGCCGCAGGCCTGGCTCCTCCGGCTCAGGGTGGCGCCGCAGGCCCAGCGGGCACCGGGCCGTGGTGTGGGCCCCCTACCTGCTGTTCAGCGGCCGCACTCGCACGCAGACGGCCACGGCTCCTTCCTCCGCCATCGTGTTAGGCTGAACAGGTCCCAGGAAAAAGGCGAGGACCCTCCGCGGCCGACGCTTCAGGGCGCACGGGCCGCCCCGCCTTTAAATTTAAAATTTCCCAAACGCTGCATCTGATTGAGCCGTGGCCTCGTGACGTCATGGGCCATTCCACCTGCGGGGCAGCGCGGGGGACGCAAGGCGGGCGGCGGGACTACAGCTAAACACGAGAGGGGATTTAAAGGGCCTGGCGGAGAGTCGCAGAAGAGGGTCGAAGGGAGGGGCGCCCAGGAGTCGGCGGAGAGCGGTGGTCCTGGAATACCAGAACACTGTAATCTACCAAAAGCCAGCGAACATCATCCTCCACCCCATCCTTAAAGAGTTTGGAACCCGTAGACGAAACCAGGTAGAGATACAAGTATTTTTCACTACCCAAACAGAATTGCTATCCTTTAAAGAAACTGCACCAACAGTTTAAAATAAACTTCAAACAGCAAGAGTTGAAACTCACTGTGCAGTCCAGAAACGTGACAAGCTTGTTGTGCGCCTTAGAAAATCTGAGTTTAGGCTTTTTTCCTTTTTCTTTCTCTCTTTCTGTAACTCGTTTCCATTAGCTGTGGCTTCCTAAGAGGTTGAATTAGGGAAAATAATTACTGAGGACTGAAAAACTGAATGGATTGATACTTTTTTTTTGGAGACTGAGTCTCGCTCTGTCACCGCAGGCTGGAGTGCAGTGGTGCCATCTCGGCTTACTGCAACCTCCACCTCCTGCTTTCAAGCGATTCTCCTGCCTCAGCCTCCGGAGTAGCTGGGATTACTGGCACTTGCCACCACGCCCAGCTAATTTTTGTATTTTTAGTAGAGAGGGGGCTTCGCCATGTTGGCCAAGCTGGTCTCAAACTCCTGACCTCAGGTGATCCACCCGCCTCAGTCTCCCAAAGTGCTGGGATTATAGGCGTGAGCCACCCCTCCTGGCCTGGGTTGTTAACTTTTATTAACTGAGAGGGAAATCTATTCTAAATACAGTATTTTTTTCCCCAAAAATAGTGCTTGTCTTCCTTTTGTCTCTCTCTCTCTCTCTTTTTTTAATAGACATGAGTTCTTGCTGTGTCACCTAGGCTAGAGTGCAGTGGCCTGAACACAGCTCACTGAAGGCTCAACTCCTGGCCTCAGCTCAAGAGGGGTTCCCGCCTCAACCTCCTGAGTAGCTTGGATTACAGGCACATCACCAGCCCAGATGATTTTTAATTTTTTTGTGGAGACGGGGTGGGGTGGGGATTAGGGTGGGGAGTGGGGTCTCACAGTGTTGCCCAGGCATTTCTTGAACTTCTAGGCTCAAACAATCCTCCTGCCTCGGCCTCCCAAAGTGCTGGGATTACAAGCATGAGCCACTGTGCCTGGCCTAGCTCTTTATGTGTACTTTAGAAACTTATCCAAGGTGTTTCATTTATTAAGAGAAATTCAAGGTGCACAGTTATGTACACAGAATATGTCTGGATATACATACCTAATTTCTGGAAAGATACACAGAATGTGCCTAATTTCCTTGCAGAGTGAGGACTGAGTTAGATGGTAGACTAAGTTAGATGAAAGTGGTTTCTTTCAATTTAAAGAAACTAGTTAATAGATAAGAACGTAAAGAAAACTAAGTCATTTCATTCAATATTTGTTTAAATATTGGCTATTTAAATGTTGGTTAACCAGCTGTGAGGTAGTATAAACAACTCTTTTTTATTGCTAGACTGTAAAGATACTTGGCTATATCTAGTAAGAAAATACAGAGTTAAGGAAGGTATATTTTAACTGTAGTTTTTATTTTTAATGGTGGGCAAATATGCCACATAGCTGAAGGCAAGGAACCTATGAAGAAGGAGAAGGGAGATGTGATTAATCAAAATTTCTAATGAGACAAGAGGAGATTGGTTCACGAGTAAAGAGAAGGCATCAGCCTTTCATAGTTGTGCTTATGATAGTTGCTATGACTGTCTTTTTGTTGTCATCATCACAGCAGGTGACATTTATTGAATATTTACTATATGCCAGGCTTTCTATTATATGCTCTATATCCAATTTTTCATCTGACTTTCCAAACTGTTCATCAAGAAATATTCATTGAACAACTATTATGTGCCAGATACGGTTCTAGGGTCAGGAAGCACAACAGTGAATAGAATAGACAAAGCACTTGTTGTTGTAGAGTTGTTATTCTCTTAGGGGAGATGGATACTGAAAAATCTCAATCTCTGTCTCTCTCTCTCTCCACACACACACACACACACACACACACACACACACACAATGTAATGATTAGTAGGATCAGGAGACAGAGAGAGAGTGATAAGGTGGGATAAGAGTGCTAGTTTCTTATGAAACACATTCTTGTGGGAAGCAGCAGACAATACATAACAAATATACAGTAAAATAACATGTTGGAAAGAAGGTTTACTTTAGATGAGATGTTCAAGAAAGACCTGAGGAGGTGACCTTTGAAGTGAAACGTATGTGATAAGAATGAGCCAGACTTGGGAGGACAAGAGAAAGGGCGTACCAGACAGAGGAACAAGTAAGTCAAAGAAGCCAAGGCTTGATCGAGTTTGTCATCTGCCTGAGACAAAGGGGAGGACCCTGTGACTGAAGCATTTATGACAATGGAGAGAGGTAGGTAGGTCCAGGTCCAGGTCCCGTGGGGCCTTGTGGACTGTGGTAAAATGTTTGGATCTTATTCTCAAGGGTGACGGGAAGCCTATGGAGTGTTTTAAGCAAGGGAGTAAAAAGGGATTCATTAATTCCTTCAAACAAGACATTCTTCATTTCACTATGAAAATAGAAACTTCCAGAAAAGACTTTGCCCTAGCTCCTGTCAGCCTGGCTACTCACTATGTGCATTTGTGCTTGCATACTTGCCTTCCAGACTGTAACTTGATAAACACCTGTATGTTTTCCACTCTGGAAACTCTCCATGTGTGCACTGGATCCAGTTCTCTCCTTCTCACTGTCTGTCCTGCATTGTCATTTTCTCCTGCTCTAGTAAACCAGTCATAACAGTAAACATATGCTTAATTTCTCCCATATTCCGTGTCTAATATATGTGGCAAACTTAAAATGTCTAGTACCAAATTCATGTTCTTCCCCTCAAAATCTGCTCAATCAGCAGTTTTCTGCTTCTCAGTTGATGGCAAGTCTATCCTTCCGGTTATCCAGGTGCAAACTCTGGAGCCATGCTGCTCAGCTTCTCACCTGAAAATTCTGTCAGGGCCACCTTGAAAATATTTCAGAATATGACAGTTTGTCACAACTTATGCTTCAGCTACCTGGTGCAAAATACCATCATCTAGCATTGAGCTCATCTCAGTGTTTCTACCCTTGCCCACCCCCACTGCCAGTCTGTTCTCAACACAGCAATTTGAGTGATTCTTTGAAAATGTGTCAGATCATGATACTCCTCTCTCAAGACCCCCAGTGCCACACCTTCATCCCCACCCTCTGATTTCTCTCAGAACAAAACCCAACGTCTTTCAGTTTTCTCCAAGCCCCACATGATCTTGCCCTTTGTTTGCCCTCTGGCCTTACCTCCTACCACTGTCCCTCCCCTTTGCTCTCCCTACTCCAGCCACACTGGCCATGGGCAGTTTCCTGAATCCCAGACAAACCCCCTCTTAAGACCTTTGCACTGGCTGCTCTGTCTGGATGGAAGGCTCTCACTCCAGATACCCATGTTTCCCTCCTTCCCATTGATTCCAGCGTCTACTCAAATGTCACCCTCTCATAGCTCTCTCTGTATAAAATAGCAACTCCATTGTATGTTACTTCTATTTCTTAAATCTTCTTCTTAGTTATAAGATTACTTGTAACTTTTAGATGTAATATGTGTATGAGTGTTAATTTATGTATGTATGTCTCCTCTCACTAGAGTGACATAATTTTTGTTTGCTCCTTAACCCCTGTGCATACAAAGGTGCTTGACATAGAGTAAACATTTAATTAAAAAATACTTCTTAAGTATTACTCAAATACTTATTGGCATAATTTCTGGGAAGATACACAGAATACACCTAGCTTTCTTTGGAGGGAAAGGACTGAGTTGGAAAATAGATTCATCTTTCATTTTATAATATTATTTCATAACTATTAACATTTTAACCACATGAATATTAGTTTCTCTCAAGTTAAATAAATTAGTTGAGATAAATCAGTGTATAAAATATAGCCTACTCATTCAGATTTGTTTTGGTTATCTAGCTATGAGCTCCTAGGGATTACCCTTTTTCATGACTAAATTGTGAAGAGGCAGGGCTGCTTCCAATAAGATAATCCAGAGTATCGTGATGTATACATACCATGGAATACTACTCAGCCATGAAAAGGAATAAAATAATGGGATTCACAGCAACCTGGATGGAATTGGAGGCCATTATTCTAAGTGAAGTAACTCAGGAATGGAAAACCAAACGTCATATGTTCTCATAAGTGGGGGCTAAGCTATGAGGACTCAAAGGCATAAGAATGATACAATGAACTTTGGGGATTTGGGGGAAAGGGTGGGAGGGGGTGAGAGATGAAAGTCTACACATTGGGTACAGTTTACACTGCTTGGGTGATGGGTGCACCAGAATCTCAGAAATCACCACTAAAGAACTTATTCATGAAATAAATAAATTAAAATAAATAAATAAAATAAAAGAATAATAACCAACATGCATGGAACTGGAGGCCATTGTCCCAAGTGAAATGACTCAGAAACAGGAAGTTAAAAACTGCATGTTGTCACTTATAAGTGAGAGCTAATCAATGGGTACACATGGACAATTAGTCTGTTCTCATGGTGCTTATAAAGAAATACCTGAGACTGGGTAACTTATGAAGAGGTTTTAATTGATTTACAGTTCTGCATGGTTAGGGAGGCTTCAGGAAACACAATAATGGTGGAAGGCAAAGCAGAAGCAGGCACCTTCTTCGCAAGGAGGCAGGAGAGTGAGTGGGAGCAGGGGAAATGCCAGACGCTTATAAAACCATCAGATCTCTTGAGAACTCACTCAGTAATAGAGAACAGCATGAGAGAAACCATCCCCATGATCCAGTCACTTCCCACCAGGTCCTTCCCATGAGACATGGGGAT